GCCATTTTCAGCGTTTGGTCCCGTATGGGGGAGCTACCGGCTGGTACCGGTCGCTTGAAATATAATTAACCCGTTTTGGGGTAATCGGCACGTGCATTTTCCCATAGGGTTAACATGGGGAAAAATTGAAAATGCGATTTGCGCAAAATCTGTTCAGTAATATTTGTCCACATTTTTAGGGTCAGTTCTTGAGCTGGCACCTCACCTTCTGGGGGTAATTATTTAAAATATAATTGACAAAATTTCGGGTAATCGTCACAAACAGTTACGCCATGTTGAGCCTATGGCGATTTCGAAAAATTATTTTCAAATCGATTTTGTCAAAAATTTCCACGTTAGATTTTGAAAATGTTCCAATATGTTGTGCCACGGGGTGTCGGCTACCACATGGTATGGGTCAGATATGGGGCGATTGAAAAGCACGTGCCACGTGCAAACGTGTTTGATGGGGTAACCTCCGGGAAAATCCGACATTGGCCAACTGGGGGTCCTATGGCGTGGAAACCACTCAACCTAGCGACACCAAATCAACGCAGCCGGTGAGCAGATGAGTCCAGCTTGTCGCACTAGTGGTCACGTGGCGCACGTGCTATTGCACGTGCCGTGGCACGGGGTCACTTTTGGTGCTCAAATATACTAGCATTGTGAAATGCAAGGAATGGGGGAAATAGCCGTCAGGCCGTCAGGTTTTATGATAGAGTCGATCTGAAAACGGGTATAGACACAGAATGAACGGTGCTAGAAAACTGCTATCTCGGATTTTTTGTAAAATGAAAAATTCAAAATTCTGGGGAAATTATATATTCGAAAGGTAAAATTTCCCTCAATTTTCCCGTTTTTCAAGTTTAGCCGTCCACTGTTCAGAGACGGTGACACCGGCCGGGGTCATCTTTTACATGCCGATGGCCACTTATATTGGTCATGACGTGGCGTGAACCGTTAAGCTGTCAGAGGTCCGGCACGTGCCACGTGGCCACGTGTTTGAGCCGAGTACCTCCCACATAATGGTGTTTTGGCCAACTGGTGGCCGTATAGCGTGGAAACAGAACCAGCCAAGAACACTAAATTGGGTCAGTCGGTGAGGGGACAGGTCCTGCTTTCATCACCAGTGGTCACGTGGCACACGTGTTCAGCTGGGCACCTCCGTTGCGGAGATATTATAAAGTGAAATATTCAAATGTACATAACTTTGTAAGTTTAAGTCCGATTGAGCTAGAATTTGGTGGGTGGATGAATTGTTAAGCGACATGAACGAATGCGCCACGTTTGTTGCAGTGCGCCACGTTTGTCTCAAAGCGCCATTTTTTGCCGGAAAGCGCAGAATGTGCGTAACTTTGTCGAACATTGGACAATTAGGATGCGCTGTAATTAAGGGATGGCTGCTTAAACGGCAGATATGAATGCACCACATTTGCCGCAGGGCGCCATATTTGTCTTAATGCGTCAGTGTTTGCGTTTTGCCTACGGCGGGCGCTTTTTGCGGCGGTGTTTGCGTTTTTTCGGTGTTTGCGTTTGACGGCGGACGGCCGTTTTTGCGTTTTTGGCGGTATTTGCGTTTGGCGGCGGGCGGCCGTTTTTTTGCGGCGTTTGGCGGTTGGCGGCGGGCGGGCGTGCGTTGCAGGCGTTTTTTTGCGGCGGTGTTTGCGTTTTTTGCGGTTTGTATTTGGCGGCGGGCGGGCGGGCGATGCGGGTGTTTTTGATGTTTGCGTTTGGCGGCGGACGGTCGTTTTAGCGGCGGTTTGCGGCGGGCGGCCGTTTCTTGCGGCGTTTTGCGGTTTGCGGCGGGCAACCGTTTTTTGCGGCGTTTTGCGGTTTGCGGCGGGCAACCGTTTTTTGCGGCGTTTTGTGGTTTGCGGCGGGCGGCCGTTTTTACGGCGTTTTGCGGTTGCCGGCGGCCGGCCGTTATGTGCGGTTAGCGGCGGGCGGCGGGCGGTCGTTTTTTGCGGCGTGTAGCGGTTTGCGGCGTGCGGCCGTTTTTGCGGCGTTTTGCGGTTCGCGGCGTGCGGCCGTTTTTTTGCGGCGTTTCGCGGTTGGCGGCGGGTGATGCGGGCGTTTTTTTGCGGCGGCGGTGTTTGCGTTTTTGCGGTGTTTGCGTTTTGCGGCGGACGCGCGTTTTCTTTTTTGCGGCATTTTGTGCGTTTTTTCTGCGGTTTTCGGCGGGCGGGCGATTGTTTTTTTGCGAAGTTTGCGTTGGCGTTTTAGGCGTGCGTTTTGCGCGTTTTGCGGTGTTTGCGTTTGGCGGCGGGCGGGCGGTTTTTCACAATTAAAGTCCCAACCTTCGGATCCGCAGTGCTGTTCGACAAGCGCTGCCCGGGCCTATCCGAAGGTTGGGACTTTTCAATTAAGACAAATCACTATTCTTTAGAATTGTGATTTTCTATTGAAAATCCCAACCTGAGCTACCTCTCTAGGGGGGTGTTTAGCGTTTCTGCCGCGATTTTGGACATCTTGATACCCTCGAAAACGGCTCGTTAGATTTTCTTGCCATTTTCAGCGTTTCGTCCTGTGTGGGGGAGCTACCGGCTGGTACCGGTCGCTTGAAATATAATTAACCCGTTTTGGGGTAATCGGCACGTGCATTTTCCCATAAGGTTAACATGGGGAAAAATTGAAAATGCGATTTGCGCAAAATCTGTTCAGTAATATTTGTCCACATTTTTAGGGTCAGTTCTTGGGCTGGCACCTCACCTTCTGGGGGTAATTATTTAAAATATAAATGACAAAATTTCGGGTAATTGTCACAAACAGTTACCCCATGTTGAGCATATGGCAATTTCGAAAAATTATTTTCAAATCGATTTTGCCAAAAATTTCCAAGTTAGATTTTGAAAAAGTTCCAATATGTTGTGCCCCGGGGTGTCGGCTACCACGTGGTATGGGTCAGATATGGGGCGATTGAAAAGCACGTGCCACGTGCAAACGTGTTTGATGGGGTAACCTCCGGGACAATCCGACATTGGCCAGCTTGGGGCCCTATGGCTCCGAAACCACTCCACCTAATGACACCAAATCAACGCAGCCGGTGAGCAGATGAGTTCAGCTTGTCGCACTAGTGGTCACGTGGCGCACGTGCTATTGCACGTGCCGTGGCACGGGGTCAATTTTTGTTCTTAAATACACCAACATTGTTAAATGCAAGGAATGGGGAAAATAGCCATCAGGCCGTCAGTTTTTATGATAGGGTCGATCTGAAAACGGGTATAGGCACAGAATGAAGGGGACTAAAAAACTGCTATCTCGGATTTTTTTGTAAAATGAAAAGTTCAAAATTCTGGGGAAGTTATATATTCGAAAGGTGAAATTTCCCTCAATTTTCCCGTTTTTCGAGTTTAGCCGTCCACTGTTCAGGGACGGTGAAACCGGCCGGGGTCATGTTTTACATGCTGATGGCCACGTCGATGGGTCATTACGTGGCGTGAACGGTGAAGCTGTCACAGGTCCGGAACGTGCCACGTGGCCACGTGTTTGAGTCGAGTACCTCCCGGATTATCGTGTGTTTGCCGATTTGTGGCCTTATAGCACGAAAACAGCACCAGTCAGTAAGCCTGAAATGGCACAATCGGTGAGGGGACAAGTCCTGCTTGCACCTTCGGCGGTCACGTGGCACACGTGCAAATTTGGGCACCTCCGTTGCGGAGATATTTTATAGTGAAATATTCAAATGTACATAACTTTGTAAGTTTAAGTCCGATCGGGCTAGAATTTGGTGGGTGGATGAATTGTTAAGCGACATGAACGAATGCGCCATGTTTGTTGCAGTGCACCACGTTTGTCTCAAAGCGCCATTTTTGCCGCAAAGCGCAGAATGAGCGTAACTTTGTCGAACATTGGACGATTAGGATGCGCTGTAATTAAGGGATGGCTGCTTAAACGGCAGATATGAATGCACCACATTTGCTGCAGGGCGCCATATTTGTCTTAATGCGTCAGTGTTTCCGTTTTGCCTACGGCTGGCGTTTTTTTTGCGGCGGTGTTTGCGTTTTTTTCGGGGTTTGCGTTTGACGGCGGGCGGCCGTTTTTGCGTCTTTGGCGGTGTTTGCTTTTGGCGGCGGGCGGCCGTTTTTTGCGGCGTTTTGCGGTTGGCGGCGGGCGTGCGTGCGTTGCGGGCGTTTTTTGCGGCGGTGTTTGCGTTTTTTGCGGTTTTTGTGTTTGGCGGCGGGCGGGCGGGCGATGCGGGTGTTTTTGCTGTTTGTGTTTGGCGGCGGGCGGCCGTTTTAGCGGCGGTTTGCGGCGGGCGGCCGTTTTTTGCGGTTTGCGGTGAGCGGCCGTTTTTTGCGGCGTTTTGTGGTTTGCGGCGGGCGGCCGTTTTTTACGGCGTTTTGCGGTTGCCGGCGGCCGGCCGTTATTTGCAGTTAGCGGCGGGCGGCGGGCGGTCGTTTTTTACGGCGTTTAGCGGTTTGCGGCGGGCGTCCGTTTTTGCGGCGTTTTGCGGTTCGCGGCGTGCGGCCGTTTTTTGCGGCGTTTCGCGGTTGGCGGCTGGCGATGCGGGCATTTTTTGCGGCGGCGGTGTTTGCGTTTTATGCGGTGTTTGTGTTTTGCGGCGGACGCGCGTTTTTTTTGCGGCATTTTGTGCGTTTTTCTGCGGTTTTCGGCGGGCGGGCGATTGTTTTTTGCGAAGTTTGCGTTGGCGTTTTTGGCGTGCGTTTTGCGCGTTTTGCGGTGTTTGCGTTTGGCGGCGGGCGGGCGGTTTTTCACAATTAAAGTCCCAACCTTCGGATCCGCAGAGCTGTTCGACAAGCGCTGCCCGGGCCTATTTGGAATCCTTCAATTCAAATATTGGTTTTAGGGGGTGAGGTTAATGCTCTGGGAACGTTGAGTTTGAAAGAGCATCATCGTTGTTTATGACCAACTTTGCCACACAGGACAGGGGTGGGATATGCGATAAAAGGCATAAGAGAAGAAGGCTACATATATCATACATACGAAAGCGCCATGCACCGTCTGCCATATCCGTTTTTTTTTTACTATATCTGACCGGCGTTTCCCGTGTATTCCGCCAGGTGGCGATGGTGACCTCCTACGAGGGCCCGCCGGAGCAGCTGGGCGAGGCCGAACAGTACTACCTGGCCCTCTCCAAGGTGCCCTCCTTCCAGCTCAGGGTCGAACTCATGCTGCTGGTGAGCGACCCCGACCTAGTCACTTCTCGAGCTCTTAACGCTCTCATCGTGGGATATGGGATATTTCTATGTATATTTCTTGAGCTGTTTTGTCGTAGATATGTTCTCCTTATCGATGATGGTTACCAATGCAACAGCATTTCATGCAGATAAATGTGCTATAGTAGTGAGGCATCGTTTTTGGCGTGTTTTTTTTTTTTCTCCTTTTTGTGCGCTGCCGATTTCGAGTGCTTCCCTCTGAAGCGCCCTTTGAGTATGCGAGATGATCCTTTTTCAAACCGTACGTGTTCGAGACGCGTGAATATGCGTTCTCGACTTGGGCTGGATAAAAGGCGAAAGAAGCCGGCCGCTACGCTAATGAGTAAGCCAGTGGTTCAGACGTGTTTGGAGCCGATATAAGACGTTCAGTTCCCGTACGGCAAATCGCAAATGCAACTAAAACGTCTCGAATTCAATAGCATCTCAGCTGGCTTTCGCAGAGTAGGTCTAGGCGCCTACTGCCAAAATTGAGTGCTGAAGAAGATAATGATGTAAATGCAAAGATCATGTGAAGTCCCATGTTGGGATGTGTGTATGCTGGAAAAAAAATTAAATCCCATCTTCCTGGACAAGTCAATCATAAACTCAATTGTGGAGCTTTTAGTGATAAAACGAGAAAAAGCTGTGAATGCTCTGCATGAAAGGAGGTACAAATTACTAGTACATTTCAGCAGAGTTACAGCCATTTGGCTGAGTGTTCCTGCCTGGAACAGTACATTCGAGTCAATGAACCGAGAGGCGGCATTGCCCCGAGAGCCTCAACATCCGGCACCTTGGAACAGCTGAGTTGACTGACCACCGTGCTACGGGCTCGCTCAGCCACCGCTCCCTGCATACTATACTGTCTGTCACGCGCCATTGCTGCGATTCAGATGGTTAATTATGCTAAATGTTGAACAGAGCGATTCTAATGCGAGTCGGACGGCTCGTTACGGCCTATTATGAGGATTTCCGAGCGCGGTCCCGGCATTGTGAGGATATTTACCTTCAGCGATGTGTTTAATGTTGGTTGTGCGTTAATTACTGGGCCGCTTGTTTGAGCATTAACGTGTGACGCATAGAACTGCCTACACCCAACGTCTCCCAGCATGCTGATAATGCTCATTAAATGTTGATTTTTTACAGGAAGCTGATTTCAAGCCGTCGATGGATAGTTTGCGTCCGCAAATTAAGGCCCTCGTAACGTCCTGCGAGCAAATTTTAACATCTGAGAGCCTGAAGCAGTTCCTGATCCTGGTTCTTCAGGTCGGAAACTTCCTGAACTCGGTGAGATATATCGTTTGGACTTTGGTGCCTCAGAAGTTGGAGGATATTTGCGTTGTACTCAAGTGGAAACTTGGTTTATAGTGGACTGCTAGGAAGACTTCGTGATATTCTGCGGCCATATTCTGGAAATTAGATTAAAAAAGTTCCAAAGAAGCAGCGTGGTTTGAGTTTCCCTGCTTTTGGAGTAAGATTGAGCTTTGGATGATATGATATGCGGATATCGGTTTGACTTTCTTCTTTTGATCTTCAAAGCGTCTCGTCATCTCGTGTTTTCAATCGTATCTGAGACTCGTTTCTTGTTGTGTATGAACCTCCACATCACTTTATTGCTTTATTTGCGTTAGAAATGTTCTGTGTGATCACATTTGAAGTTACTTTGAAAGCTGCATAAGCTGCAATTCACAGTGCGTTTAATTACCAGGCGCGCATACGTCGTGTGCGGGGTATTCTACTGATAGCACTGACCCACTGCTGATAACCTGTATAGGTAATGTGCCTTCTTCACTGTGCCATTGACGTAGCTCACGGGTTATTGACGTATACTGCATCGCTGATTTATCACGTGTTACTGACTGGTACTGAATCGCTGATTTATCCTGCGTCGCTGATTTGTTCTGCGTCGCTGACTTTAACAGCGTTGCTGACTTATCCTGTGTTACTGACATACTCGTATACTGCGTCGCTGACTTACACTTCGTCTCTGACTTATCCTACCGGTTTCGTTCAGGGAAGCTACGCTGGAAACGCTATGGGCTTCCGTCTGAGCACACTTCCAAAACTAATCGAGACCCGAGCAAATAAGCCTCGCATGACACTTCTCCATTACATCGTCGAAGTAGCCGAGACTCAAAACAAGGTGGCTCTGGAGTTCGCAGAAGACTTCAAACACATCCACGACGCTGCCAAGTAAGTGCACCGTGTGTTCATGACGCCAGTGTTTCAGAATCTGGAATAAAGCAGGCTCCATTTTGTCTCGTATGTGGTGTCCTTGCATATATTCCACCGATTATTGAGTGGGAAGGCCGTGTAACCCCTCGCATAAATGTTTAGCCAGGATGTATTATTCCTGTTATATGACATGCTAGCCTACTTTCTGGCTTAAACATTGCACTACCAAAATGTTTTATGGCAATGTGTTACGCAATAATTTATGCGATGAGATATGTCTGTGTATGACCGGTCATAGACCCCTGTATACCAGTATACATACAGAGGTTTATGGATGCATATTTACGTATGATGCTGGAATTTGATGTGCACTGAGGGCTACAAAATGAAGAGAAACTGACAGTACATGGCGAACGTGGCGTGTCATCCACAGAATCTCCCTGGATGTGCTGATGGCTGACATCAACAACCAGTCACAGACGGTGACACGACTGAAAACCCAGTCAGAGAGCGCGCCAGCGGAGGTGAAGAAACAGTTCAAAGGTGAGGTGACCGTGCGAATCTGTTCAGCGAGGGAGCGGGAGAAGCAGCTGGGGCTTGTATGACTCATGGCAGAAATGAATTTCGACTGCATAGTAGCTTGAAATAAGCCATAAACACTCATTATTAACGTTTTGTTTTCATCAGTATCAGAATGTTGCAAATCATTATTAACTTCGATTGTACAAGGTAAAATATGGTAACTGTTACACGGAACACTCGACTCAATACCAGATAGCTATTTCAATATCCGCTGGGACACTGTAAAACTTCCTCCACTGAGTCGGGTGCTCCGTGTCCCCTGCAGATTTTCTCAGCTCAGCAGAGCGCCAGGTGGCTGACCTGGCCATCCAAATGGCCGAGCTCGGCCGGTGCCAGACGCGACTGGCGCAGCACTTTTGCGAGGAGGAGGATTCGTTCACGGTGGAGAGCTGCCTGAGACTGTTCGACGGGCTCATACGGAAAATCGAGGTCGTCCGGCAGGTGAGAGCGATTTTGATATGAGCTATATAGGAATGAAGGGAAATGTTCTTAATGCTCAAGTCATATCAATTATAGTAGTTACTAGTTTATGTAGATGCTCGACATTAGTACATGTTTTATACGGTATGATTAAAATATTGGCTAAGTATACCGGTATTCCGGTAATAGCTATATTTTCTTAATTGTTAATCGTACTAGAAATACCCGTCACTCTTGATGGGCCTTCTCTAAACTATCTTCCGTTTTCAGGATAACGAGAAGCGACACCAGGACGAGGAGCGTCAGAAGCGCCGGGAGGAGGAAAAAAAGCGCGCCGCCGCCGCCGCCGCCGCAGCCGCCACCCAGGAGAAGGCGCCCTCCTCCTCCAGAGGCAGCAAGGCGCCGTGGCGGGATGAGGCGGACGGCCGCACCAGTCCCAACTCGTCCTCTTCCGAGCTGGAAGACGGTCTGGTCGACACCCTCCTCGCCGGGATCAGACGGGGAGAGTTCCGTTCGGTCCGACGTCGCAAGGAGAAGACCGACGAGCCCGCTTCGCCGACCGACCCGGTGGTTAAAGAGAAACGGCGTCGCCATCGACGTAGAGAGCCCATGTTTCTGCTGGGTAGAGAGAGGGAGAGACCCAACGGTAACGAGCTGCGGTGAGTGCGGTGGACGCCGTGAGACCCAGACAGGGATGCTACGGTGCTAGGCAGGGGATGTACGGGTGTCGTGTGCAGGATAGCCCGGCGTTGGGTAACGACTATAACGTGGTTGAAAACTGTGCCTTGAGCTTGTGTTCTTTGTTAGATAGGTGCCGTCCAAGCGCGTTACGGTGCTTCCTGAGCAGTGATCATGGCATTAGTACTATTGCTGATGTAAACGTTGAATCTGAAGCGTGAAACTCAGTGTTTTGAAGAAGCTCGGGGATGGCTGTGTTTTAGCTAAGCGCGACCGTGCATATAAGCATCTTTTCATGAACAGTACCCTGGCCAACAGTGTGACTGCGTACATAGCATGTTTGAGACAATCGTCCTCCCTTTCTGCCGATCCTGCGGAATGCACAGGTCGCTGCGGGAGACGTACTGTATTGTTTGTAGCTATAACTATTTTCTTACATGTTTACCGTAGAGAATCGTTTTACTCAGCAATATGAAGGCGGTAAGCTGGACAGGACTGCTGAGACGTTGCACATTTCAGTGTCAATCAAGGCTTCATATAGCGTCATAATATTGCATGCAGAACTATGTATGTGTACCATCGACCACATTACCGTGCCTGTGTTCTGAATTGTGATGACTGAAAGACAATAAAGATGACGCTACAATATTCAGACGCATTCTATGTAGAGCATGTTTGGGTCAGCGAGTCGCTCTCAACCGTTTTCAAACGTCAACAATTTTCACTCGTAACTACAATTATTTATTCTTTTTTACGGTGAAGTCACCCAAGAACAGCTTCAGTCCACGAATAAGGGACAACAGATGCACATTATGCGCTTACATTTGCGCGACAGACACACAGAGGGCTTAAACATTCCAGATTTGATACAAACTCACGTTGCACAAACGGCAATATAGCATCCATTAAATGCGAGCACACCCGTTTTCGCGCACGTATTCGAGTCGGCAACATTGCCGACGACGTCTATGTACAAATCCCGTAGGAAACACGTACCGCACTACATTTGAAACACACCGGAGTTCCTGTCGGAACTGCCACCGGCACGGATTCCGTGCAGGTACGACAACTGCCGGGTTTTCTGAACGATACCCAGTCCCCTGGTGTCGGCACTCTCCCCATTGCCGGCGCTAGAGGACGGAGATCGAACCAGCGAACCCAGCGAGCCACTGAACACAGCGAGCCAGTGAACCCAGCGAGCCACTCCCGGCGAACCAGTTAACCCAGCGAGCCAGTGAACCCGGCGAATTAGTGAACCCAGCGAGCCACTCCCGGCGAGCCAGTGAACCCAGCGAGCTACTGAACCCCGGCTATAGTTGACAACAAACATACATCGCGCCCACTCATGCACGATGAGTCCTTATATAGGAGCAATGCGTTACTGATCCAGCCTTCGACACGTTGAGGTACGACGTAAACAACAGGCTGACGTGATAGCCATGTCCACCAGAAGCCTGGTGACATTCGACAGTTAACGGGGAGCTCCAGTCATTATGAGGTACGACTACGATCCACATCGATCCACATTGTACGATCCACAAACGATTACACGTTCCTTGCATGTCGCTTCATACATACAGTGAGCCGCGTCTCTGAACATACCGAGATTGCTTGTGTATGCTTTTCGGAGACTTCCATGGTATGACCTCTGTGGGCTTGAGCTGTCAGGATAAACTTTCCGACTAGTGTTACATGCAGTGATCAAAGTTATCTGGAGCCGAAAGTTTTGTGATTTGAGCTGACAAAACATGTTAATTATGTCCATTTTGAGTAGTCTGCTACGCATCATATACATGATCTGCAATGAGCTTCATTAGCTATCAAATTTAGTTAGTTTGTTTTGTTTCCCCCATGAACGTGTGCGTTAAAATACGATGTTTTGGCTCGACAGTGTCCCATTCACCATACTTCTTTTCTATTAGCTCAAAGCAGGCAAAAACCGAGCGTTTTTTTCAGTGGAAAAGAACGGTGCGAAGCTGCCAAAGAGGCTGAGGAGCCACAGCACACGACCGCGCCTTAATGGGATGTCTCCGTCCCGACTCGGCTGTGAACGGCCACTCTGGACGAGGCTCATGAATATCAAAAGTCGCACAACAATGAGACCCCTCCAAAGTGCCCACTAAAGTAACTCCCACCAGAAAGCTCGAGTGACTCCTATATGCGGCGAAAATAAGCTGAAGTGCCGCCAGCTTTGAGAAAAAGGCAGCATGACATTCTTTGCAGCGTTTACTGCATAACTAGCACATACTACTTCACCAACATGCTGTCCATATGTGACTAGCCTCAATATGCAACATTATGTAACAATGTGTGACTAGCCTACTCCCTAATAATGGGGTTTTAGAGCGACATGTTATGTCAGATATGCCATTAATATTTCTGTCACCATATTTGAAAACTGGAGCCAGGACGGTGTAACGCTGTCGTTAACGGCACTTATTGAAACGCTTTTGCTCGGGTCTAACTAGGAGATCCATCAGTCAATGTTGTATGACATTGCGTGCCAGCGTGGGTATTAAGGTTAAACAAACGAAGAGTGCCGCCAAAACTAAAGCATTGCACTCGAACTCTACCGGTTTTGAATCTAATGAATCCTCACTGTATGTACGATTTGAAATGTGACAATAGAAAACTGGTCCCGGGGAACATTTTGACGCAAATTTCTATGAAATTTATACTGCTAGTTTACTGTCCAGCCATTTCCACTTTACAAAGTTTACGTGTCAATTTGCTGTTGTCATTGAAGAGCCAATTTTTCAACAAATTATTGCCCCTTAAACTCAGTCGCACGCACTAATGAATTGTTGTCCATTGAGCAGACCATAAATGAGCGCTTACGGTCACCAATGGTTACGGTTGTCTAGATATTGACGCTTTGTCTGACAACTTGAAGCCATTTGTGATCATATGGTATAATCCTTCTACTTGTCCTCCTGGGCACGTGTCGTAACAATATGTCTGAGCATAAATGCGCAAACTAAAAGATGCATATTACAACTTCCAAGTATTAGTCATGCTACAGTATAACTGTGAGTTCATAAATATTGACGAACATTTGCATATGCATATGAAGTTCGAAACAATTCAATATGCATTCATATTTAGACGGATGTAATATGTTGCTAAATACATCACCTTTGACTGTGAATCCTCACAATATGGCTGTTTCGCTTCCACTATACTTTTCAGGTCACATGCAATCCCATTTACCAACTGTTTGTGTATCCTAGACCCGAGATATCAGGTTGTTAGACCGTTCACAGTAATTTGCTCGTTTGTCACAGGCAGAGAGCTTTGCACCCGGATCTTCGTAAGTTTTCTTTTAAATATAAACTCCAAACGACGCATCCCACAATCGATCAACAGCTACATCACACGCACTTCTCGCACTCATTCCCCGACTTCATCTCAGCACTCTATCCCCACCGCCAACGCTCACACTCTGGTCTCGGAGGTGTAACCGTTCACAGTGAGCGCCGTTCTCTCGGCTGTCGCTGCCGGCGGCTGCAGCAGGGCACGTCCATTAGCGGCCTGGGCCGGCGCTGGTGAAGGGACCGAGTCCTTCACCAGTAGCGGGCTGCGGCTGGCGGCGCGGCGCGCAGAGCCCAGCGAGCCTGCCGTGCGGCCGGCCACCAGCGTCTCCTTGGTCGAGTTGGTGTTGATGAGCTGGTGGGACGCCGGCGGCAGCGAGTGGTTGGTGCTGTAGTGGAAACTCTGGCGGCGTCTCCCGCACAGTGTGTCCTGATGGACAAGAACGGAGCCGGTGAGACGGTAATAAGGCGGCGGGTTCCTCAGGTTTGTAAGGTTTGATTACGTCATCGATGATAGGAAACGAAATATACCTGCATAGACCGATATTTTCTTTTTATTTTAGTATCATTCTTTTTCACTTTTCTTCCCCTTTTTCTCTCTTTCTCTTTCTCTTTCTCTTGCTTACTCACTCTCTCTCTCTTTCCCTCCCTCTATCCCTCTCTCCCTCCCTTCCTCTCTCTTTCTCTTTCTCTCTCTTTCTCTTTACTCTCTCTCTCTCTCCACCACCCTCTCCCTTTTTCTCTCTTTCTCTCCCTCTCCTTTTCCATAGCCCTCCTCCTCCCTCTCCCTCCCCACCGTCCGTTGACGTTCTGTCTGCGGCTGATAAGACCGTTTCTCAGTGTCCGTTGGACGTGCTGTTGTTTTTTTCCGCAGCCGCCGGCTGGTCGGCTGGTGTCTGGCGGCCCCTCTCTCTGCTTGGTAGATGCCGTCCCACGGTCATCAGCACCAGAAGCTGTGCCCTGAGGCGCTCTATTCTGGACACGAGCGCGTCCGCCGCCGCAGACGACCAATAGGTCGGCGCTGGACAAACGAGCTACGTCGGTAAACAGCTCCGTAAACGTGCCCGCCTGAGGCTGTCGTCTCCCCTGACGAGGAGACTCTCTAAGCCTCAGACCCCACAGCTCGAGCTAGCTGACTGGGAGACGCTCTTCTGTTCTGGTCTGTCGACTCTCGATTTTGATATGAAGTGGCATGGGCTGACACCGACGAGGTGTGAAAGATGAGCAGCCGAGTAAAAATCCTCTGACGGTTTGACGGTGACAAAGAGTCTTCGCGCTTAGATGACTTGGTCGCAAAAAAATTTCGTCTGTCGAAGCCTTACTCTTTCGAGGAAACTGGGCTTAACGCCACCGATTGTCTCTTGAAATCTCTCCGAAACTTTGTGGAAATATACTGAGAAAAAGACCGTTAACTGCCTGTTAAGCTGCGAAGCATGCATCCTGTTTTCCTTTCAATGCATGTTATGTGACCCTTATTGAATATTGTTTGAACATTGTATGCATTATACTGGTCCAGGCCCGAGCCAAGATACTCTGCCGCTCTACGCCGTAGTTCCCAATCCACCCAACAGATGTCTCACTACTCAACGCCTGCCGGATGCTGTGCCGCATAGCACAATGGTTACCATACTCGCCGGTAGATGTCACTACTCTCAGACGCCTGGCTGCTGCCGGGCGGTGCAGGCCGTGAGCGTAAAACTCACCGCACACTATTTATTTGGCCGCTTCATTCCGGCGTTACAGAAGCAAATTTCTCGCCCAAGTTATGATTCTTCGAGCATGTCACTGAAAATATCGCTGACGCGGGCAACTTTCTGAGATGCGGATTGCGGGCGACTTCTTGAGGTGATATCCACACATTGCGTACAGAGAAGTGTCACCTAACCTTTACAGCCAGCGGCAGCAATCAATTGAAACTGCTTTGCAACTTCGAGACAAAGTTATTTATATAATGTCTGACAACTCACATATAGGTATTTACTTGATCGGAACATATGTGTAATGCTTAGTGCTTACTTATTTTTATAGGCAGTCACTCATTCTTATTATTGATGACGGATTCTCTCCACGACCATTAAGTTCATCAACGGGTCGTTTAGCATTTTGAGCCTGCAAGTGCTAACTTACCAACAAAAAGGCTGTTGACTGACCTTGAACGCCTGCCGATATTTGGCCGACATGACGTTGTACAGGATGGGGTTGATGGTGGCCGAGAAGTAGTAGAAGCAGCCGGTGATGTAGTACATGTACTCGTTGATCTCCCGATAGTTGGGCAGCTGCTTCCCGTAAATGTACAGCAGCCGCTGGGCGTGGTGGGGCGCGAAACAGACGAAAAAACCGATCACAACCGCCACTGAAAACAAAACGATACCGAACGTCAGTGGCGATGAAAATTATAATACAACAATGGCCAGTTTTTATACAGCAGGCATTGTAATAATATTTATTTCTCAAAGAAAATATTTTCTTTTTGGAAAATGTATTTACGCGTATTGTGTACTAGTAAAGTGGATATGATGTCATAACCAGCAGCCCCAGAATACCGAACTGCACGGTAGTGCGGCGCCGTGCAATTAAGAGGCAAAACCGGCTGCGCCACACCGTCACCAGAAATGGAACTAATGGTCAAATCTTCCGGACACTGAATGGCACTGCTGCCAGCTCTCTCACTCGCTCATCCCGACTGGCGGCAAAAACCAGACGCCAGAGCTCCGAGATCCCTGGTGGCCCGGTGGCCTGTCACCGCGCCCTTCCAGCAGACACGTCATAGAGAAACCACGACCGGAAATCACTACCAGAGGTCTTCAGCTTTATCCATTGCTGAGACAGTGCGGCGTGCAAATTGCACACTTTTGTTAGAGCGAAGCAATATGGTCGACTTTTGCACTCTGTAGTTCCCTGACCTCAATGACTTCAAATAAAATCTGCTTTAGAATGTAAAAGAGCCGCTACATGAATATAATTATGTGCTAATCTTAGATATTTAGCAGGGATGAAATCAATTCGAACTACCTCTGTAATGCTTACGCGTCTGTAATTTGGTAAGGTAATAATCAGTGAACCATGCACGTAATTAGAATTTAAGCGGCTTTCATAGAGAGCAGTTGTCATTATTAGATTTGACTTTGATATTGAGTTTATACGTGTGTGGCTGATGCATAGGCTGATCCAATACATGCCCAGTTCAGCTATGTTCTCCAAAAAGAAATACAAGATCATAAATGATGCAGCAGCTGATCTTTCATCTACGATGTAAATCGCAAATCACACCCTACCGTACAGTGTGATCACAATTCTGTTTTGTATCTCTGCGCCGAGGCACCGCCCGATACCGCCTGCCCAAATCTCCTGCTGTCTGCACCAGAACGAATCCGGAGATTTATCCAGCGATAAATTGCCAAATTCGCCGTTGTCGTGGCGGCAATACGTGGCGCTCAAATGTAGGTCGGTCCCGCAGGCCCACGCAAGGCGGCACGCACGCACCAGGCGTGGGCTGGTCGTGGTGGTCCCTCCCTCTGTATATCTCCACAGAGCCAGCTCGGAGTGCCCAGTCACTCTGCCGTGGGTCACGTCCAGCACCTCCACTGGTGGCGCCTGCTGCCGTGCTGATAAATGTCGCAGCTCAGCCGCTGAGTGGCCAGCCCACATTGGCCTCGGCGCCGCTGGGATGTGGCTGTCGCCAGATGCGCTCCCCTCCCCCCGACCGGGACCCCACTCACAGCAGGAGCCCCCCTCCCTCCCTCCACCACCCCGCCCACAACAGCCGGTGCGGACCGGACCGCCATTGAGGCCATGCGGGATCGCTCATGTCTCCTTCAGGGCCCGCCACCGCCAGCTGCGACCACAATGGCGGGGCACGCACGCTCTCCTAAAGGGCGGCCGCTGAGGAACAGGGGCCTCTCAGCCGAGAAAGCCATTCCGGTGCTCTAAGCAGATGAAGAATTCGGGTATTAGTCTGTTGAATGGCCGTGGTCGAGATGAGATGCCGCATCCGATGCTGACATAAAAGAAACAGAAAATAAAACAGCACTTCATATAATGAATGCAGAATAACATTTCTAGAGATAGCTTCCCTTTAAAGGTAGTGTGCCACCTTTGAAAGATTTCCCATTTTATTTTTCCTAGGATAAGAAGCTTCTGTTTTTACCTAATATCGCAAAAAAAATCAAAAATGGGCCTGGAATAGTGCCTTTTTCGCCTAAAAGTTTTTCGGTTTTTAGATATGTATAACAACTGTAGTGGGCTCACCTGCAAACAGGCGTCGGGCAACAATCGCGAATGCGGCGCACTTGTGACAATAAGCAAAGGTCATTATAGTGTTACGACTAGTGATGTCATTTTCCAAAAAATGTCTGACCGATACCGACCGAAACCAAAATTTGGGAAAAAATTTCCGACCGAATACCGACCGATAACATCCCAAGCCAAAATTTGACCGAAATTTGACCGAAATTCTATTTGCTATCACTCTACCCCAAAATTAAAATATTTGGTAAATTCTGATGGAAAATAATGCGAAATGGCATTTCAGTCCAAGTTCAGTCAATTCTTAGCCACTGCAAAATACATTTTGTGGTAGAAGTTACAATACATTGCTGAGGGTAGCAACACAAGGACCTCAGCATTTCACAGATTTGGTTAATTAGAATTGTCAAGAATCTACTTTGGTCTATGTAAGGAAGAATGCTCATTCATGTTGCAAAAGCACGATCAATTAGTACCTAAGTCAAATGGTTGGTAATATGTATGTTCATGACAACATTCCCTAGGAGAAAAGGCGGAATCAAAACACCACAAAACACATCAAAACTGCTTAGAAACTTGCCTTGAGTCTTGAGATGTGGTCTGAGATACTCTACAAAGAATTTGACACTGAAAATCCAGCTGGAAAGGCAGGTATTAGGTAGCTCTGAGCTTGAATTTTGTCCCAAAAATGAAATGAAAATTCATTAAACAGGCACTTTGTCTTATCTCTTGTCAATCTTATCTTTACAAGAAAACAAAATATGCAGACAAAATTAATACAGTGCACACAGCCGCTATCCGGGTTCAGAAGTGGCCAATACCCTAATTTTCGACAAATTTTAAAGCGTGATTTTCTCACATTTGCTGGTCGTAAATTGATCAGACTGTATAAAATATCATCCAGAAAAAATATTACTCATTCTGGTACAGATTGGTGGGCTTCCAAAGTACACCGTTTTGTTTTGCTCCGTGAGACCGAACTTTTCCTGCGATTTTCATGTAAATGTTGACGAGTCTCCTGTCATATTCTTTGCTTGAAAATGCGTAAGTAAGGTATCAGCTGAAAGGGGAAAATGTGCGGAATCCATTGGTAACAAAAGTGCATCTTAAAAACTTCCCATTCAGTTATTGTAAGCTAATTGCTGCACACTTGCACAAAGCAGAAGGGCTTAAGGATTTCAATATTTACATAGGCCTACCAAAAAACGCACAGCGTGCTTCACATCGAGACAACGTCCATAACATAAATCGTACAATTGTGATTCATTTGCTGAAAAAATTAGGTCGGCATCACACTGCCGGCAAAAGTTATTGCAGTTCTAGTGACGCCAGGTCGCCGCCCGGCCGACTCGTGCAGCTGACGTCCGTGCGGTTCGGCAGCTGACCAATCAGCTGCGAGAGAGGAGCGCGGTCCGTCTAATCGCCCCCGGCAGTTGCTTGTGCTGAGGGGTGCTCGACGCTCGTGTCGATTGCATTTGTTGGTTGTCAATTGTCGATTGACTTGTGGGTACCTATACTTTCTGGTGACCAATGAATTTACGTCGTCTTAACTGAATATAGTCTGATCAAATTCAATAAAGCAAAAAGACATCCAGCCAACAGAACATCGTAAGAATGTCCGATATGGTTGACAACATTCAGAGTTTTGGGGAGCAGCCATCGACCAGAATGAACCTTATTGGCCTTTGTATGTAACATTTGCATTGCTTTTGGAAAGTTTCAGTCAGATATCTTCAGAAATGGCAATGTTATCGGCTTTTGCATTTTACCGTAGTCGGTTAATCATAATTTTCGATATTGCAAAGGCAATTTCAGTACGTTCTTGACATCGAGAACCAAAACGAATAGCATCATAGTGTTCCCAGAGCTCAAATTGCATCCGATGCAATCTTTTTTGTTGAGGATGTTCAACTTCAAAATTTGACCTTTTTGACCTCGCCGTGACCTGACCTTCATTTGTCGAATGGAAATAGTTTCGAATCGGACGACCCAGATGACATCATTTTTAGATGCTTTTGCCGAAGTGGACCATTAAAGATGTGTTGCATGACCTAAAAATGTATACATTTCCTTCCATGACCTTTTCCATGACCTTTTGTGACCCATGACCTTTACATGAGCTTTTGTGACAAAGTTAGGTTTTGTTTGTCAGCTATTCCTATCAGAAGCCGTTTGAACTTTTAGTATTGAACGAGTAGTTTCGAAGACAGCAGGGAAGCTATGCAGAATCCCCTCCCGAGTCACCCACGTTATGGGATATACCCGTCATCCGCAGATTACAAACAAAAATATTTTTTACGGCAATGATGTATCAGCATGGATGCTCATACGTTCCCATATGTGACCTTACGGTTGACTTCACATACCATAAAAATTTCTTGGCAAAATGTCAACTGGTTAACGAATTATCGCATTTTGGCCACTTCCGAACTCAAATAGCGGCTGTGTGCAGTGGCGCCAAAGGGGTGCAAAAAGTAATAGAAGAACCAAGGATTGACTTTTAAGATCTTCTCTTCCCTAACGAAAGGATGTATGATGATGACGTAATATTTATTTATATGCCCTTTTGGTCGAATTATTGAGGGGAAATTAATTTTCTTGTAGTGAATTACACTCACAATGTTGATTTCATTAGAATTCAATATCATGTTGGATCATTTACACCAATAAAATAATTCACGAGACAGCATGTAACGATCCAAAACATTTTTTTTTTTTGCAGCAACTTACCCCGCGTTCGATGTCTCTCGGACGACGAAGATTCTATGCCGTCCGGCCAATCCCGTCCAAGGTCAGCGGGGGCTCGGCTGCGGTTATGGAACGTGATTGGCCGGACGGCGTAGAATCTTTGCCGTCCGGGAGACATCGAACGCGGGGTTAATCAGCTGGTTTAAAGTCTCCGTTATGGCGCATCTGTTTCGAAATCCTTCCTTGTGTTTGGAATGTGGAAGATTCCAGAAATCGGACATGGGCCGAATATGTAGTTTTTGTCAAGATTCCTATGTTTGTATGTTGTGGTCATCTAGATTTCAAACATTTGGTTGGTACCTGCAATATTTAAGGAGAATGTGGAATAGTAGAACACCTGTGAAATGTAAATGTGATCAC